GACAGCAAGACGGACATTGCACAAAACCAATATACTGATTCACTTTCGTGAATGAGTATAAAAACCCGGGCCCAGCAGAATAAAGATTCAATACGAAACTAAACACCAACAAAGTCAAGTGTATTCGTTCACCGGGTGTCAAAATGGCTCATGTTGATTTCCTTTCACGTAATCCGGTTGCAAATGAAGTAATATCAATCTTATACAAGTTTAGAAAACAAACATGTTTTGTTAGCTGAAATAACTGACAATTGGCTTATAGCGGAACAACAGAAAGACTCAGAAACGGCATTAATCATTCTAAAAATTCATTCGAAAATTCAAAGAAACGGTAAAACTAGGTATCTTCCAGTCGTTCCTAGATCTTTAAGATGGTCCGTAGTGAATCATGTTCACGAAGCAATCGTACACATTGGTTGGGAAAAAACTTTAGATAAGATGTACGAGTTTTACTGGTTCGAGCATATGGCCAAATACGTACGAAAGTTTGTAGATAATTGATAATTGATTGATGATAATGAAGGCGAAGACGTTGAAAGTGACGTCATGTAAAGTTGGTGGATTCCAACTGGGATGTTGCAAGAGACGTCGTAGTTAAAGACATATTTCAAATACTTGTACTTTGGCAAATGCATATATATCCATGTTATTAAAAGGTACATCCACAAGAAAAGTTATTAAACAATTCATTTCCCATATTAAGCCACCACTGAAACCAATGCGTGTTGATGCTTGCATTTCTATGTTTTTCTGCGTGTGAGCGTATGTGTTTCTTGTGTAAGGTGAAAAACTCGAAGAATTATTGTGAAATATATATTCTTGGAATGGTTCAGGGGATTTCGTGGCGTTATTTTTTCACTGCCATCTCCGTAGGTTGTAATGCCTTGCCTCATCCTGTCCAGCTCTCTCCAGGTCTCGACGCACTATCTCGAACATCTCGGCTACTAATGGAATTGAGCCACTTCAGAGCTACATGGTCCGTGACTACTACAAATTTCTAGCCTTCCAGGTATAGCCTGAGCTTCCGCTTTTCAGTAGCTGAGTAGATCTGTTCAGCACTATTCAGCTGTCCGGTTGGCATACGAGATGACGCGCCTTCCTTCCAACCGTTTGCAGTACCGGTGATTTCGTCAGCTCGGCCTTCATCGTACCAAACGCCTTTTGCCACTCCTCCGTCCACTCCAATTTCGCGGCCTTTTTGAGCAGTACGTTGAGAGGATGTACTGCGGCAGCGAAATCTGGCACGATGCGGCGGTACCATGAAGCATATTGACGTAGATTTTTTACGTTTGTTGGCGGTTTCAGCTCGGCAATAGCGGCCACTTTCTCCTGGTGTGTACAAATGCTATCCTCCGTGACTTTGTGACCTAGATATTTCAGCTCTTTTTTAAAGAAATTGAAAAAAGCTGCCATGGAGCATGTCAGCAAGCCTTTCGCTGATAAAGCTACTCTAGGGTCCCGTGTCGATCGTGGCTCTTTGAAAAGTGGCTCTAATGGTCACGATCGCCGTCATCTGGCTGCCATCGTCCTGAAAACGGCCCACTGACGCCTGAGGGCTCCCCGCCGGTGCTCCCGCTCGAGCGGCGGGTGCCGTTGCTCGTTTCCCGACTGGAAACAGCCCCTCCTGACTACACATCCGGTACGCCCTTGCTGGATTTGGGATGCGCGTCCTTGATCCTGATACGCCTGTCTTTGGCGCAGGAGAAGGCTTCACCTCATCGTCCATGCGGCGATACTTCACATCGCCTCCAGCGTGGTCCATGGTCATAAATCGCGTCCGGCCAGGCCGTGGCTGCTGCCGAAGTCTCTCCCGATCTTTCTCCAGCTTCTCGAACTCGTCTGCCAGGTGCATCAATTCCACCAGACTCCAACGGGCGGGTGTAGGCACGCAGATCGGGCAGGCTGTTGTACTAAATGCGCTTCATCTCTTGGTCTGCTCCATGGCGCAGACGCCGCAGGGTCTCGACCATGTAGACTTTAAAGCTCTCATCCACCATCTGCCGCCGGCATTTGACGGCAAGAAGAACTCCTGAAAGCTGCGCACAATAGTCGCCCACGACGTCCAGTCCAGGCCTTATGGTGCCATCCAAGCGGAAGATTCACTCTCTCACTTGTTTGGCCACCTTTCCTCGGGGTTGCGGGCAGTGCTGTCATAATTTTTTGAGCAAATAGAGCCAGATTGGCAAAAAAAAGAAGCTAAAAGAAGCTCAATTCAAGAAAAAATAAGCTAAAATAAAAGCTGGTTTAAAAAAACACTATTTTCTTAATTAAATTCATTTATGATTATTCAATTGTTTTTAATTGTTTGATTCCTTCAACTATAGACAAGGAATCTCCACTTTCAAGAGAAATATTAAAGTCAGGAACGTCGAAATCATCACTCCACTCTCAACAGAGACGTATTTAATAACGACAACTAAAACCATTAACGTAGAAATTATAGATATATGTATATGCATATACATATATACAAATTATAAAGTATTCAATCTTTTAACGATTTTAATTTATATAGCCACGCTCGCAACATAGTCATAAATAGTTAGTAACTACTCTTATCCTATGGCAGGTCGTCATAAGTCTAACTTAAGTGACGTGTGAAAATATATGTACCTATATTCAAGAAAATATACATTACACTCCAATCTTAATCACAACAACAATCACAACTAGCTCAGCTTAGACTCGGAATAAACCGAAGGTTCGTTATAGCATAATTAGGACTCACAATTCAATATTATTTTCTTTTGTAAATTGTTATCTTTTAACTAATTAATGAAATAATATTCTTTTTCCTTAGTCAATATACATTTGAAGCTGCAAAAGTGGCTTGCGGAAACGTAGCTGGACTACTCTCCTGGACAATGGCAATGGCTAAATACTTTGAAGTTAATAAAGAAGTCCTTCCATTAAAAGCAAACTTAGCTGTTCAAGAGGCAAAATATCAGAGAGCATCGGAGGACTTACGGGAAGCTGAGGAATTATTACAGCAAAAGGAAAATGAATTAGCCGAGGTTCAACGTACATTGGAAGAAGCGGTTTCTAAGAAACAAACGGTTTTGGCTGAAGCGAAAAAATGCCAGGACAAAATGGATGCTGCAACGGCACTTATTGGTGGATTAGTAGGTGAAAAAATTCGTTGGACTGAACAGATTGCCTCTTTCAAAAGTGAAACTGAACGTTTGGTTGGGGATGTAATTTTGCTTACTGCATTTTTGTCTTATACAGGTCCTTTTAATCAAGAGTTTCGGAGTCTTTTCTTAAACCTGTGGACTAAACAAATTATTGAAAAAATGATTCCGATTTCAGCAAGTGTAAATGTCATAGATAATCTAACTGACCGCTCACAAATTGGCGAATGGAATATACAAGGACTGCCCACCGATGAACTGTCTATACAAAATGGAATCATTGCAACTAAGGCAAGACGATTTCCACTTCTCATTGATCCTCAATCTCAGGGGAAAGTTTGGATTAAAAATATGGAAAAGCAAAATCAGTTAATTATTACAACCTTAAATCATAAATATTTCCGAAATCATATTGAAGATTCTCTTAACTTGGGCCATCCTATGATTATCGAAGATGTGGCAGAGGAGCTGGATCCCTGTCTAGATAATTTACTGGACCGTAATTTGCTTAAAGTAGGAACACAATACAAAATTAAAATAGGTGATAAAGAAGTCGATTGGAATCCAGATTTTAGATGTTATATTACTACCAAGCTTCCTAACCCAGCTTATACACCCGAAATATTTGCAAGAACTTCGATTATAGATTTTACTGTCACGATGCGAGGATTAGAAGATCAATTGTTAGGTCGAGTCATACAGACGGAAAGAAAAGAGCTGGAGGATGAACGGGTACAATTAGTGGAGACTGTCACAGTAAATATGAAAAAAATGAAAGAGTTGGAGGCCAACCTCCTACATAAGTTATCTACGACACAGGGAAGTCTTTTGGATGATGTAACAGTAATTGAAGTACTTAACACAAGTAAAAACACAGCTATAGATGTCAAAGAAAAAATTGAGGTAGCTAAAGTAACAGAGCTCAAAATAAACGCAGCTCGTGAAGAATATCGTGTTGTGGCAACTCGAGGGAGTGTGTTATATTTCCTTGTTTGTAGTATGACTATGGTAAATAACATGTATCAAACATCCTTGGTGCAGTTTCTAGATCGTTTTGATGCTTCTATGCATAATTCAGCAAAAACCCATATTACACAGAAGCGTATAAAACGAATAATAAACTATTTAACGCTAGAAATTTATAGGTATAAATCTCGAGGACTTTATGAAAAAGATAAATTTCTTTTCGTACTTCTTATGGCATTGAGTATTGATCGTCAACTAGAACTTATTACGTTTGATGAATTTCAGACATTTATTAAAGGAGGTGCAGCAATAAATTTAAATGATTGTCCTCCAGTACCATTTCGTTGGGTAGTGGATGAAACATGGTTAAATTTAGTTCAGCTTACCAGTCTATCACCATTTGTAAACATACTTACTAAAGTAAGTGCAAATGAGCGAGGCTGGTTTATATGGTTTAAAAAGGATTCTCCAGAAAATGAAGTTATACCAGATGGTTTTAATTCACTTGATCCATTTCGCAAGATGCTTCTTATTCGATCATGGTGTATGGATCGAACTATTGCTCAAAGCCGTAAATATATATCTCATTCATTGGGAGAAAGATTCGCAGAGCCAGTAGTTCTAAATTTTGAGGAGCTACTATTAGAAAGTAGAGAGCTTGTTCCAATGATTTGTTTTCTCTCGCTTGGCTCTGATCCTTCATCTAATATTGAATTATTAGCTAAAAAAAATGAGTTAAAGTGTCATCCTATTTCAATGGGCCAGGGACAAGAAATCCATGCTCGTAAATTAATATCCACATGCATGGAGGAAGGCGGTTGGGTGCTTTTGCAAAATTGTCATTTGGGTTTAGAATACATGAATGAACTCATGTTTCAAATTCTTGAATTAGAGCGTCAAAGTCAACTTTATATTAATCCAGGATTTCGTATTTGGATAACCACCGAACCTCACCCTATGTTCCCAATTACATTACTGCAAATGTCACTTAAATATACAAATGAGCCGCCAGCAGGAATTCGAGCTGGACTTAAACGAACTTATACCAATTTATCTCAAGATTTCCTCGACTATTCACAGTCTCCATTTTATTTGTCTCTTGTGTATTCAATATCTTTTCTACACACTGTAGTACAAGAGCGACGAAAATTTGGACCACTAGGATGGAATATCCCTTATGAATTTAATTCTTCGGATTGGTTGGCTAGTTGCTTGTTTGTTCAAAATCATTTGGATGACCTTGAGCCTGGAAAGGGAATTAGCTGGGTAACTGTACGTTATATGCTAGGAGAGGTACAATATGGAGGGCGTGTTACTGATGATTATGACAAGCGACTCCTTAATACGTTTACACGAGTTTGGTTTCATGATGGGCTGTTCGAAGACAGTTTTCAATTCTTTAAAGGATATGTCGTATACAGTTTTAAAGAACGGGAAGCATATTTATCGGCTATTGACAATATGTTCAACGTCGACCCTCCTCAAGTATATGGCTTTAATTCGAATGCCGAAATAACGTATCAAACAAATACGATGAGAACAATTTTAGAAGAAATAATGGCCATTCAACCCAAAGGTAAAAATTCTAAATTTGTATAATATTTATTTAATTAAAATAATCCCTTTTCATACTACCCACTGAAAAAGAATCTTCCAGCGGATCTTCAGAAACTCGAGAGGATCGTGTTGCTCGTCAAGTACGAGAAATGTTAAGTAAGACACCCCCAGCATTCGATTTATTTGATGTGAAGCAAGTCCTTATTGCTGCTGGTGCAACAAGTTCGATGAATATTTTTCTTCGTCAAGAGATAGATAGAATGCAAAGAGTACGTAGATAAT